AGGTCCTCGAGAACACCTGGCTGTTCCTCAACTCATCCCTCTCCGAGGGTCTTCCCCTAGCCCTGGGCGAGGCCGCCCTAACCGGCGCGCCCGTCGTCTGCACCGATGTCGGCGCCTCCCTCCGCGTCCTCAGCGACCCCGATGACTTCTCCCGCTTCAGCGCCGTCGTCGCCCCCAACGACGCGCTCGCCCTCGCCCGCGCCCAAATCACCATGCTCGCCCTCCTCGGCGAATGGGCCAAATACGCAGACGACACCGAGCCCGCCCCCGTCCTCACCTCCTCCCCAACCCCAGACGACGTCGCCAAGATCACCCGCCGCATGTACGAGAAGAGCGAACACCGCCGCAAACTCGGCATGATGACCCGCAACATCGTCCAGAAGTCCTTCAGCGGCGACCGCTACCTGCGCGAACACGAGCAGATGCTCTGGATCGGCAAGGCCGCAAAGGCCATGGCCGCCCGCTCCGCTGCTGGCGGCGACGTCCTCGCCGAACCCCTCGACATCGCCGCCGCCCTCCAGTACTCGGACCCCATCGAGGAAGAAGTCATCACCATCCCCCAGAGCGCCGTCCACTCCTGGCGCTCCTCCGCCGCTTCGGGCATGTCCACCCTCTACTCCAACGTCTCCGGCTACCCCATGCTCCCGCTTACCCGCCCCGCTTCCATCCGCTCCTCCTTCAGTAACTTCTCCACCGCCACAGACTCAGACTCCTTCATGCCGCTGCCGGGCAACGCCTCCCTCCCCGTCTTTGCGCCCCGGCAGACCCTTTCCTTTGACACTGGGGGAGCAGTCACGCCGACAGGCAGGCTGTCGCCGTCAGGCCGCCTCTCTCCTGCGTTCAGTCGGCACCGGCACTCGCATGCCCGCTCCATCTCCACCCTTGGCCGCGAGCAGCTTCGTGGTCTGCAGCGCGAGGAACCTCATCCGTACCGTAACTCGGATGTCAGTTTGCATATGCGGGAGGAGTTTCTCCAGTCGAGTATTTTCAAGACCTTGGATGGGAGCAATGGCAGCAGCGGCGGCAATAAAGTCTGAAGCGCTGCATTGCATCTATACCAAACCCTACCCTATTGCACATATCATTTACCAGTCTGGACTACGATGACTGACTGACTGACTGTATATACATGCATGCATGTCTATATCCTTCCTTCTTATTGTCATGTCTGCATGCACTAAATTAATGTATAAAGCCGAAGCCGCGTTCGCATCCCCCCACGAAAAGAGTTGTTGTTGCATTGCATTGCATTGTGTTTATAGTTTGCATAGCGTGATTGAATATACACTTGTTTCATTTGAAAAACATACATCGACGTAAGACTATACTAGAAGTTTATATAGATGCCTAGGATAAAGATACAGTTAATGTGCAAACAGGGGCAGGGGCAGCGACCGCCTCACACGCTCCCACATCGACTCGTCTGGCACGGGCTTCGCTATCCGATGCCACTCGCCATTAAACGCGTTGATGAGCCAGCTCGAAAGACCTAGTCGGATTAGCATTTGCGGGGGCAAAAGGAGAGGGGGAAAGACATACGGTCGTAGACCATGGTGTGCGCGTTGTGAAAGTAGATGCTATGATCCGAGTCCGGGTAGAACTGCAGATCGTAGTTCTCGACGTTCGACAAGTCCAGCTTGTCGATTAACATAAGTGTATTCTGCAGATGGACGTTGTCGTCCGAGGCGCCGTGCATGACGAGGAAGCGGACCGTCTCGGACAGGGCGGCCATGTCGGTTATGGTCGAGTTGTCGTAACCATTAGGATTATGCTGCGGGGTGTGCATGTATCGTTCTGTGTAGATTGAGTCTGGAAAGTGGAAAGTCCGTTAGTGGGGTGGTCTATGAATAAGAAGGGGGGGGGGGAAGGAATACCGTAGAACCGCCAGTCTGTGACGGGCGCAACGGCCATTCCGTACTGGAAGGTCTGGCCAGCGTCTTGTTCGAGGGTCTTCAGCGTCATGAACCCGCCATAGCTCCATCCCCAGATCGCCATGCGGGTTCCGTCAACGTACGGTTTCGACGCCCACATCTTTGCAGTGGCGATTTGGTCGTGCGCCTCGTAAAATCCTAGGTTGCCGCGGACGATGCACCGGGCCTTGCGGCCAATGTAGCCTGTGCCGCGGCCGTCAACGGTCACGACGATGTATCCCAGGCTGGAGGCGACGTAGGACTGGAAATCAACGGCGAACTGGCGGTCCACGGTCTGCGAGCCCGGTCCGCCATACAGATAAAAGAGGACGGGGTATTTCTTGGCCGGGTTGAAGTGAGGAGGGCGGCGCTCGACAAGCTGCAGCGTGTAGCCGTCAACTGTGACGTTTTGGTAGATCTCAGTGGGGAGCGCGTACGCCTCTACCATCTTGGTGAGCTGTGCGTTATCTTCAATGCGGTCTTCGTAGGTTATTTCGTCGCCTTGCGTGTTGATAATCGCCTGCCAGGGAATAGAAGGCCCTTTGTATGTGAGAAGCGCGTAGCCTGTGCCGTATGAGAAGGAGACATCATAGTAGCCTGGTTTGGAAGTGTTGGTCAAAGGCTTAAGATTCGACCCATCCAGCTGCACACGGTAGACATGGCGCTGGGTGGGTGCTTCCCTCGTCCCGACGAAGTACACCAGGCCCCGTTGCAGATCTACGGCAGCCGGTGCGTTCACCACTTCCCACTCGCCGGATGTGAGCATCACAGGGTTTGGGCTATCGAGTGGTGTGAAGTATGCAAGGTGGTCGTATCCATTGTACGGCACGGTGTCGATGTAGCCGTCGTGCGGTCGTCCGTTCTTGGGGTCCGCCGGGATGAAGCGTGTGGATTGTGAAGGCTCAACCCAACCACCGTCAAGGCCGGCAATGTCGTCGGATCTGACCAATTTACCTGTTCTGGACTTGGTGTCGATCAGATACACCTTGAGAATGTCGCTTTCGCGGTTGGTCGATCTCACGAGGACCTTACCCTCAGAGGCCCACAGAACCTCAATGATGATGCGGTCATCGTCGGCAAAGTCGTCTGCTACTTCGACGGAGAAGACCTCGTTCTTCTCGACGTCGTAGAACTGCAGGTCGACGACTGGGTTCGGGGCCCCAGACTTGGGATATTTGATCTCTCTCACGTCGGGGTAATTCTCCAACCCCGGCAGAGGCTTCTTCCCGGATGGCCGCGAGACGTAGTACTGGACCGGGAACTCGGGCACACTCGTCTCATTTGTTCTGAAGAAAGCGATATACTTAGCGTCATTCGACCACCATGTGACGCTGTTCCCCGATATCACCTCCTCCTCATACACCCAGTCGGGAACACCATAGAAAAGGTTCTCCCCGCCGTCCTTCGTAATCGCGACAACGCTGTCCGACGACAGCCTCCGCAGATACAGATTATTGTCCCGAACAAAAACGACCGCATCAGAGGCAGGAGACCAAAGCGCGAGCTGCACTCGACCATCCGGCGCACTGGGATCCAACGGTTGCGCAGTCTGAGAATCCACATCCAGCACCCAGTACTTCCCTGTGAACGAGTGCCTCCAGTTCTTCTGCTGCTCGGATACTAACAGCACTTTCTTCAAGTCCGGACTCGGCCAGACGTTGCTGGGAACAATCGCCCTCCCGTCTACGTGCACGATGGGCTTCCTCATCAGCACCTTGCTCTCCTGACCAGTGGCATCGCCCTTTCGACTCCGGATATCATCCACCCGGAGGTACCCCTGCTTCTCATCCCCACCCTTCTCAACTAGCAGACCGTCTTCGTTGTTCGGCCCCGCAACCCATCCGATCGCATGGTACCGTGGAAGCCATTCCCCCGAGAGCACCTGCCGCAACGTGACAGGCTTGCCGGAGCTTGTGCTCGTGCTACCCAACGTGGAGTCGGCTTCGTGCGCCTGTAACGCGTCCGAAGCAGTCTGGTAGTTCGCTCGTCCCCCTGTCAAAAACAGTACGAAGGCAAGCAGCCAGCCTCCAAGGCAGAGAAGAACGAGAATCCAGAATATCCGCCGTGCGCGACCGCCTCCAGTGGCTGCTTTCTTGGATGACGCGAGGAACGGCTCCGTTTGTTCCACATCACCGTCCTCGAGGTCGCGGTATCGGTCACCGTCGGCGGATCCCATTGTCACCTTGGGGTTGGGGAAGGCTTTCCGTTCTCCCGGGAAGAGGGATTCGGTGGATAGACTCGAGTCGGTGGAGGTTTGAGATGCGGAGGATGCAGATCGAGGGCGGGTCATGGGAAGGAATTCAGAGGTTTCTCCATGGCCGTCGGATGGCCTCATTGTCACGGTGGTTGTAAGACAGAGGCTGCAGTGATTGAGTTACATGTGACGGGTCACAACAGATCGACGATGAGCAAGGCAACGAGGTTGTGGTAGTCAGGATGGCTAATTTACAGCCGTCTATAAAAATAACATCAAACCAACAGGCCATTCATCGTCAAGACAAGGTCAATTCCTCATCAGTAGACAACAATGTCAAGGAATGGCCGTAAAGTGGAAATACTGATGGAGTCCGGGGTAAGCGGTTGTTGATGGCGGCGATGCAGATAGCGACTCTTGGCAGCCAATCTTATTCACGTTATTGAGCTCCCCTTTTGGGTATCTCGATCTATTCACAACTTCGATGAATATCAACTAAGTCAAATTTCATCTATCTGTCGCTAGAGACAACTGTGATGATTAGGTACTGCACGAACAGAGTGGCCTTTATTAGCAATTTGCTGTATATCAAACCAAGCTGAGTATTTCTACTTAGACGTGCAAGAATCAAGAATATAAGACCAAACGAGAAAAAGCTACTTTCGAGATGTCAAAGGATACTTCGTTAGAGACCAACAGTCTTTAGTTAACATACATGAATGCCTGCTTCAAGCAAGGGAATACAGAATACTCTGAATTAACCCAGTCCGGCTCCATACACCCTAAAATAGCAAATAAAAGCCAAACTCCTGCAATAGATCTTCCTGGGTAACCTGCGAAAACAAGATACAGAGTGTGTTCAATCACAATTCATCCTATCCACCCGAATCAGCGACTTAACAGTGAATGGATTTGAAGCGAAGCTCAGCCGTATCGACAGCCAGCTTATAGGCCTGACCCTTGATGAGGGCCCACGAATCCTCATCGAACATGGGCTGTTCTCGGAGCGTCTCGATAATGCGACCCACACAGTCGTGGAATCGCTTTATCTCGACATAGGTGAACATACACAGCAGCGCAGCCCGTTCCTCGACCGTCGCAAGCTGGTAATCATCCAGCAAAAGAGGCTGCTGGTCTTTGCCCTCGTACGTCCGGACCAGGTGGTGATAGAACGCCCGGCTTCTTTGCAAGATCGTTCGGCAGAGCAGATAGAGGAAGCTTCGGACGTATTCCTTCCCGGAGCACCGCGTGCAGGTGCTCATGGCCTCAAGGGCGTCGAGAGCACGCCTGATATAGTCCAGGCCGCACTCCTTGGTCTTGAGCGAGCTGAGTAGTGGGTTGTTGAGGTAGGCGGCATCCAGGGAGTTTCGGCCCTGTAGAGTGCAGTCGCATGGGAAGAGCTCATCGTCTCCCAGGTCGAGATCGATGGTTGGTGGGGGAGTGGCAGCTTGTGTAAGCACCCGCTTCTGACAGGACCTGTGAGGAACTGTCTCCATCTGGGCGAGAATGACCTTCAGCCCTGTCATGAACGCAGTGATAGATTGGCCCTTCATGTTGTTTAGTGGCTGGGACAAGCGAAAGTTTGTAGTTGGTTATCAAGCGAGTGAAAATGTTGATTGTTGCGAGTAAAGCGAACGACTGTAGGTTGTCAGAGGGAAGTAAAAGTGAAGAGGGAGGAGAGTTCTCTGCGAGAGAGCCATATTTAGCAACTATGACTGTGTTGAACCAAGGTAGAGCGGCCCTATCTGGCTTCAACGAGTCAAAGTGACGACATTCGCAGAGTTCCTGAGGATTGCAGCCTGAAGGATCGGGCAGTATTCAAAGCAAGCCTGGCGCCGCATATATGTTGACTTCTGAGTTGGAAAGGTCAGATAGCACAAGACAATGTAAGCAGTACGCAGCGTAAGAGTTATATTCATTGGTGGATCATCTATATTCTGAATCATTTGATTTTTGGGTAAAATTACTTATCATAATACACCACATCTGATCCCTTCTGGTTTATGTGCCTCCAAATCATCTCGATAGAGCGATATCATCAATTCTCATAATCATCTTAACCGTCTCAGCCGCAAGTTCGATGGCGCTGGTGCTCACCAAGAGCGGCTGCAGAATGTTCTCCTCCGTGATGTCGTCCCGCACACCGCCGCTACGGATGCTGACACCAGCATTGTGCTGGCCTTGAGCGTGGCGGTGTCGCAGCTCCGTGACGACCTTGATCGAATTCAGACCAGCGTTCTCGGCCAATGTGGTTGGAATAACCTCCATGGCATCTGCAAACGCCTTCCAGCATATAGCCTCCGTGCCTGCGAGCTCACGGGCACGCATTGCCAAAGAGTGGGCGACCTCAATCTCAGGAGCACCACCACCGGCAATAAGGGCGCGTTTCTTGACCAAGCAGCGAATGACACAGAGAGCATCGTGCAGAGACCGCTCGGCCTCATCCAGAATCAGGTTGTTGGCACCGCGAGCGACGATAGATACGGTCTGGTTGGCAGCGGTGGCAGGTGCCTTGATGCCGGTGATCTTTACATACCGAGCACCAGACGCCTGGACCTCCTCGACAAGGTCAGCAGTACCCAGTTTGTCCTCGGTGAAGGAGTCAATATTGGCGACGGGCTTGCAGCCAAGACTCTTGCACAGGAACTCAACCTCATCCCGCTCAATGTCCTTGATGGCAAGGATCTTAAGCCGTGAAAGGAAGTGGAGGGAGAGTTCGTTGACGGCGTCACGAAGGATCGATTTTTGGATGAGAAGGACGTTACACTTGGTCTTCTGGATCTTCTTGACCATGTTCAGGAGGTACTGGCGTTCTTCCTTGAGGATCTTGTCCATCTGACGGTAGTCGTTGACGACGATCTGGTTTTCCATCTGTAGTTGTCCATACGTTAGCAGCCTGTATCATGCTTTTGGGGTAGATACAACGTACATCAGGCTTGGGAGGGCTGAGCTGGAACTGAATCAAGCCTATCCGGGCCTTCTCGATCCTTGTGGGGCCGCCGCTGCTCTTGATGACGGGCTGGTTCAACACGAGACCGTCAACCATCTCACTGTCCTCAATTGTACCGCCGACCTTCTTCACAATTCGAATGTTTCTCAGATCCACGTTCTCTGCTGTTTTAGGATCGATGACCTTGAGCACCGAATCCACGGCCATAGGGCCAAGAAGGCCAGAGTGTTGCGATACGATCTTGGAGGATAGCGATGTAGAAGCGGCTTGGAGGAGAGTAGCACGGTCCATCAGGTTGATCGGGCGAGACATATTCTGGAGGATTTCCACCGCAGCAGCAGCGGCTCGCTGGAAAGATTCGGAGATGATGGTGGGATGAATACCCTTGCCCAACAGGCGCTCGGCGGCTCCGAGCAAGCTACCAGCGATCACGACCACGGAAGTTGTTCCATCACCAGCTTCGACATCCTGAGCAGCACTCAGATCGACAAGCATCCTGGCCGCAGGGTGCATCACGCTCATGTCTCTCAGCATCGTGTTTCCATCGTTGGTCTATGGAGGGGTTAGCACCGAGCCGCATATTTCGTGACTGGAATTCGTACGATAATCGTGTTTCCCTTGGGTGTTTGAATCTAATGACAGTTAGCATTTATCAACATGCAACTTTGGACATAACCATACCATCTTATCCATTCCTCTGGGCCCCAGAGACTGTAAAGCCGTTAGCCCCTCACCTTCGACATATATGGGTATCTAGATTGCAAACCGTTCTGATGGCATCGGCGACGGCTAGATTCACGTCAGCTATCATGTAAAATAGACGTCAAAGCAAATGGTAAATACCTCTAGCAGCCAGAATGTTGGCCGTCCGAACCGCCATGGGCTTCTCCTTGTCCTGCGCGAGTATCAGAAAACGGCCCACAAGCAGTATTTGTTCCGTAAAAACCACCCACCTTGAAGGTAGTGCCAGGGGCCCCCTGGGAGACTGCGGTCGCCATTTTGAATATGTCCGCGGATAGAGGCACAAAGATAAACTAGAAATTGAACAGGGACACGGGTCGTGATGAGGGGAGCAGATCCACTGTCTGGAAGCGGCTCTGGGAATTTCTTCGAAGGTGCTTTGGCGGTGGTGATGCTTGGCGGCCACTAGCGTCAACAGCTGGAACCCGTCGGTGACAGCACCCTCAAGCTTGAGAGCTTGATCACATCACTTTCCCAATCAAACTTCACCTCACCCATCCATCTCATCAGACTCTTTCGACCTTATACTGCCATCATAAACTCTATTCCGTTACGACTGTATTGACTTCTTTATTTCCCTGGCCTTCCCTGTCATCCGGTTGCGCAGTCCAGTCTCACCATGCCTAGCGCCACGGGAGCGAACTGGGAGAAGTACCAGAAGAACTTCGCTGACGACGAAGAACCGGAGAAGAAGATCACACCTCTCACAGACGAGTATGTTGCGGCTGGGAGCAAGCTGAGCTCTAAATGAAAACTATGAGGTATCGGCTGATTATGAGACAGTGATATTCAAGTACTCAAGACATACGGCGCCGCTCCTTACGCGACCGCCTTAAAGAAGCTCGAAAAGCAGATCAAGGACAAACAAGCGAGCGTGAACGAGAAGATTGGTGTTAAGGTTTGTTAAGGGTGATGTTTCTTATATCCGGATCTTGGCTGACCTTGGACAGGAATCCGACACCGGTCTTGCGCCTCCACACCTTTGGGATGTCGCTGCAGATAGGCAACGCATGGCAGAGGAGCAGCCATTGCAGGTTGCTCGCTGTACAAAGATCATTTCCGACGAGAAGGATCCCGATAAGAGCAAATATGTCATCAACGTCAAGCAGATTGCCAAGTTTGTCGTGAATCTAGGGGAGAGAGTGAGCCCTACAGATATCGAAGAAGGCATGAGGGTCGGGTAAGTGGCTATGGTCTCTGTTGTTTTGGCAGTTCTGATTATTTTATAGCGTCGACCGAAATAAGTACCAGATCATGTTACCTCTTCCTCCCAAGATCGACCCTAGCGTGACGATGATGACTGTCGAAGACAAACCGGACGTGACGTACGGCGATGTTGGTGGATGCAAGGAACAGATCGAGAAGTTGAGAGAAGTGGTCGAAATGCCTTTGCTGTCACCAGAACGATTCGTCAACCTCGGTATTGATCCGCCCAAGGGTGCGCTGCTGTACGGTCCTCCCGGTACTGGCAAGACCCTCTGCGCTCGAGCAGTCGCTAACCGGACCGACGCCACGTTCATCCGTGTCATCGGTAGCGAGTTAGTTCAGAAGTACGTTGGTGAAGGTGCACGAATGGTTCGAGAACTCTTTGAGATGGCCCGGACCAAGAAGGCATGCATCATCTTCTTTGACGAAATCGACGCGGTCGGTGGTGCTCGTTTTGATGATGGGGCTGGCGGTGACAACGAGGTTCAACGTACTATGCTTGAGTTGATTACACAGCTGGATGGTTTCGATTCCCGTGGTAACATCAAGGTCATGTTTGCAACCAACCGACCGTCGACCTTGGACCCTGCCCTGATGCGCCCTGGTCGTATAGACCGCAAGATCGAATTCTCACTTCCCGACGTTGAAGGTCGCGCCAACATCCTCCGCATTCATGCCAAGAGTATGTCAGTCGAGAGAGACATTCGGTGGGAGCTGATCTCCCGACTGTGCCCTAACGCTACCGGTGCGGAACTACGGAGTGTTGCCACAGAAGCTGGCATGTTTGCAATCCGGGCGCGGCGGAAGGTCGCCACAGAGAAGGACTTCTTGGCCGCTGTGGACAAGGTCATCAAGGGCAACCTCAAGTTCAACTCGACAGCGACATACATGCAGTACAATTAGATGATGTCTCATTTATGCATCTTGGGTTACATTGCATGGCTGGATGGATGTATAATCAGATTTAGCTCGGTGATTCGGTCTATGATGCTTCCTTAATATGATCTACTGTGCATTATCAGATGCCCACATACTCACGGCGTACTAGTTGTGTCCCAGTAACTCGATCAATCGGTTGTATGTGATATACGTATAGTCACGTGATTCCGCGCCGAGGCATTGCTGACTTCCACCCAAACTGTGCCTGGAAGATGTTCGGCTTTTCAATTTGGCCTAGATAATAAAGTGTAGCAGCCTACTGAATACTCGAAGCTCATCTATAAATCAACCCCATCTCATCGTCTTCATCGGCCACTCACCCCGGAATTCTTCGCTGCTGCCGGGTCAATTGAAGACCGGCCACGTGCCTTGCCATTTTCGGCCAATGAGAAGCTCCCGGCTGCCCGAGGTGATTACTACTGCGCGCCAGCTGATTGGCTGTCTCGGCCCCGGTCCTCCCCGTCGGCAAGTGAGGGAAGATTATGTCAGCCAGCTCTTCCTGTTCTTCTGAGAACCGACGATCCAAAAGTGCTGCTCGTGAATACTACCACCGGCTTCCGACCTCGTCTTGCCTGTTCTCCCCTCCTCCTCCCACTAACAACTGCCTTGGTGCTGTTGGTCGTCCTCATCCAATAGCCTCCTCTCAGAGTCATATACAATAGTGTCTCTTTTCTTTTGATCCGCCCACAATGAGCTCCCTGAGCTTGCGGAGCCTAGCTCCCGCTTCGAAGGTCGGTTACCCGAGGGTCTTTTGACGACCCTTTATTCTGTACTGTTGCCGTGCTGACTCGCAGATTTGCGCAGATTTCCCGTGCTTTGAGGGACCAGAGACGTCTATTCTCCTCGACAAGGTCGGCAGGTACGCATTGAATCCCACGAAGTTGAGCTCCCCGCTACTCACTGACTCCGTTCTTCCAGCCCGCATATTCGCCAACGGCCCTTTGCGCGCTAAGGAGGCTACTGGTTACATTTCTTCGAAGTATCCTGTTATTGTAAGTGACTGTCGCATTAGCATGGAAACGAGCTGGTCTAATTGACGGTAGGACCACGAATACGATGCTGTTGTTGTCGGTGCTGGTGGTGCCGGTCTCCGTGCTGCCTTCGGTCTGGCGGAAGCCGGGTTCAACACCGCCTGTGTCTCGAAGCTCTTCCCTACAAGATCTCACACTGTTGCCGCTCAGGGTGGTATCAACGCTGCTCTGGGAAAGTATGTCAATGAACTTATGGAGTTGTATCTTGGATGATTGCGCTAATCTCGACGTGCAGCATGCACCCCGATGACTGGAGATGGCACATGTACGATACTGTGAAGGGTTCCGATTGGCTTGGTGACCAGGACGCCATCCACTACATGACCAGAGAGGCTCCTGCTAGTGTTCGTGAGCTCGAGGGCTACGGTTGCCCCTTCTCCCGTACCGAGGATGGCCGTATCTACCAGCGTGCTTTTGGTGGTCAGTCCAAGGATTTCGGCAAGGGTGGACAGGCCTACCGTTGCTGCGCCGTCGCTGATCGTACCGGTCACGCTCTTCTCCACACTCTCTACGGACAGTCTCTGCGCCACAACACGAACTACTTCATTGAATACTTCGCCCTGGATCTGCTGATGGAGGATGGTGAGTGCCGTGGTATCATCGCCTACAACCAGGAGGACGGTACCCTGCACCGCTTCAAGGCCCACCACACTGTTTTGGCCACTGGTGGATACGGACGTGCCTACTTCAGCTGCACGTCTGCCCACACTTGCACTGGTGACGGTATGGCCATGGTCGCCCGTGCTGGTTTGCCCAACCAGGATCTTGAGTTCGTTCAGTTCCACCCAACTGGTATCTATGGTGCTGGTTGCCTGATCACCGAGGGTGCTCGTGGTGAGGGTGGTTATCTGCTCAATTCCGAGGGTGAGCGTTTCATGGAGCGTTACGCCCCCACCGCCAAGGATCTGGCTTCTCGTGACGTCGTCTCCCGCTCCATGACCCTCGAAATTCGCGAGGGCCGTGGTGTTGGTCCCGAGAAGGACCACATCTACCTGCAGCTGAGCCACCTGCCCGCTGAGCTTCTCCACGAGCGTCTGCCCGGTATCTCGGAGACCGCTTCCATTTTCGCCGGTGTTGACGTCACCAAGCAGCCCATCCCCGTCCTGCCCACTGTTCACTACAACATGGGTGGTATCCCCACCAAGTACACCGGTGAGGTCTTGACTGTGGATGAGCAGGGCAACGACAAGGTTGTCCCCGGTCTGTACGCCTGTGGTGAGGCCGCCTGTGTCTCCGTCCACGGTGCCAACCGTCTGGGCGCCAACTCCCTCCTCGATCTCGTCGTCTTCGGCCGTGCCGTTTCTCACCGTGTCCGTGACATCGCTACCCCTGGCAAGGCTCACCGTGAGCTGAGCGCCGACGCTGGTGCTGAGTCTATCAAGGATCTCGACTTTGTCCGCAACGCCGATGGACCCAAGTCGACTCACGAGATCCGTAACGCCATGCAGAAGACCATGCAGACTGATGTCAGCGTCTTCCGTACCCAGGAGAGTTTGGATGAGGGTGTTGAGAAGATCACCGCCATCGACAAGTTGTTCGACCAAGTCGGTACCAAGGACCGCAGCATGATCTGGAACTCTGACCTTGTTGAAACTCTGGAACTTCGTAACCTGCTCACTTGCGCGTATGTATCCTTTCGGCTCTCCCAATTTCAAATATATGCTAATAAGATGTCCTCTAGTACTCAAACCGCTGTCGCCGCCGCCAACCGCAAGGAGTCTCGCGGTGCCCACGCCCGTGAGGACTACCCCGAGCGTGACGATGAGAAATGGATGAAGCACACTCTCACCTGGCAGAAGAAGCCTCATGGTGAGATCGACCTGAGCTACCGTGCTGTCGAGCATAAGACCCTCGACGAGAACGAGTGCAAGAGCGTGCCTCCCTTCAAGCGTGTCTACTAGATACATTGCTCTGCACTTGATGTGAAGTGTAATCTCAGCGTTCGCATGTCTTCAATGAGGCTGGATTGGCCACAGGATCCGGGTCAACCTCAAGATAGAAACAACAGGCTTTTCGACCCATCAGCCCTTAATTGCTTTGGTGAACTGTGGAGGATGGATTGATCAAAAGAAGCGTCATGAAAATTCTGCATTTCCCTGTGTTATATCTGTATATCCATGTTTTCCCTTTCAGGCGATGAGTTAGGTGTACTCACGTTATTTGTTTTTCATAGCAGTTTCTCATATACAATTGGAGTTTCTTTGCGTCTGGATAGGGCTATCCAATTCAACTTAGCATTCTTCAATATAAGCCGCTATGTGACAGTCTGGAGGCTCATTGGATGACCAGGGATAGTCTCTCAATTCCTGCTGCCAGGTACGTCACCTTGAGATTCCTTGACTTTGACTTCGGTTGAAAGTGACTTCCCGGCTTTTTTCTTTGTTTGGCAGTCCCGTGTCTTAAGACAAAGAAATCACTCCAGCGGTCCATCGAGTACCTACGATAAGATACTGGTCGTCCAAAAACATCAGCAAGTCAAAAGGGCTTTATCCTTTCAACGGACTTGGATTCAGGAATGTCTAGCAGCTCAGTCATGATTAAGGTACTGACGCAAAACGCTGATCCTTCGAGTCTAGACGAATGTCACGATGTCACTATTGCAACCATAGCTTTCTGTTCCCTTTTTTGAATCCGACAGTGGAAAATGAGGCCATCACATGTTCTTCGCTACGAACTCTGAGTCCTAATCTCTGTGATGGCCGGTGTCGGCTTCATAGATTGACTGATTGTGTATCGAGTACCGTGCCCCGACCAATATTTTTGGCAGACAAAGAACTCGAGTCATTGAGTCGTTGCCACTTCGTATGGCTCATTCGCTTTGCCGTGGTTGTTTCAGAACGACTTGCATAGCCATGTGCTGTTCAGAAAAAGAAACAACGCTCATTGCACCTCATACTTTCTTTTACCTTTCTTGGGCTCCGAACGACCACATGGCGCCCATACTCCATGGTGACCACTGTCGCGGTGACCTCTGAAGATCTCGCTCTTCATGCATTCGTTTGTTTTTGCTGTCTTCACTGTCGTTCTAATTTATTGATTCCATCTTCTGCGAGTGCAAGTGTAGTTGTCTGAATTGGCGTCCCAGCCGTCTGAGAGATGTCTCTCCATCTCCCCCGTCAAGCCAACACTTGCACCGGCAGCAAGCAATGGTATGTTTGCTCCAAGGGCAACTTCCATGGCTGTTGCTCAGTCGATCCGTGCAATACCGGGGTATGTCCGGATCAAGAAAGCCAGACTACATTGTCGACTGCGACTACTGCAACCACCTCGAAAGCTGCCTCAACCACAACGGCGACCTCACCAACGACAGCTATCACCACCGCTCCGTCTACAAGCTCCCAGGGAGACATCCCAGAAATCATTCCGACTCGGACTGTGACTCAGGCTGTTGCACCGGCGACAGATACTGGTACTGCTGATGCGAGTCCTAGCCATGACCACGGCGCATTGATCGGGGGTGTTGTGGGTGGTATACTGACCTTGATACTGCTGAGTGGGCTGTTATTCCTGGTCTATCGGTCTCGCAAGAAGCATGGTAAACGGTTCGTTTTGCTGCGCTGGCGTGTCCATCGTGGCGAGAGCCATGAGAAAGCCTCAACAGTTGCAAACAGTAGGGGTGTTGGGCCAGGGAACGAGGGACGATTGCTTCATGGTGAGTACGACGCGCCGTACATGAGTTCTTTGGAGTCTCAGACTGACTGTGCTTCATGCTTCAGTACCAAACTCCAACACGCCAACCAACGCAATCATCAACCAACCCTTAACGGTGCCCGGCTCAGAACGAACTTCAGCAACGTCAAACACCATAAGCCAACCGTCCACTCACGCTAACGCAAACACAAGTAAAATCTCAGCACCAGCTGAGACAACCCAGCACAGCTCCTTGTCCTCGTTACCACCACCCTCATCCACAACGAGCCACCCCTCCCCCGATCTCAACCTCAACCTCAGCACAAGCACAAGCACAAGCATAAGCACCAGCCCACATCCACCAGCACCAGACCGAGCAGACATAACCCCCGAACTCTCAGACACAGGCTTTTACCGCCAACGAGCCGAGCTAGCCGCCTACTCCCAAAGCGAACTAATCAACATCCCTCCCGACCGCCGGCAGGTGAATACCAACCCGGATCCAGACCAGCCGGCTCCGCCACAGCTGCCGTCGATCATCACGCCGGACGGGGTGATCCTGGGCGCGAACTTTGATTACAGGGTTCCGCGGGACGATCCGTATCCTGGTTCCGGGGAGGGGATCGGCCATGTGCTTAGCTTTATGCATTTTGAGGAGGGAGAGCGGAGGGAGGGGTGGAGGAAGAGTTTTGAGAGTGGGACGGGGGTTTGAGGTTGTTGTTGACGTTGGCAGTTGGGCTGCTGCTCTTGTGCTGGGTGGCTGGTCTCGGTGATCGCATACCTAATGTCTATTGTTGGTTTGCTTTGATGCATGTATATTTGTGTCGTGGATCCCTTTTGTTTACTGTTACTGGTAAATGTTATACAGCTTAATTGTTGGCTAGACAAAACCGAAATGTATTCTATATACCTACTAAAACATATTACCCGAAAGAATCTAGCTTTTAATTCCCTAAGACACAATAATACCACAGATCATATTCTTACAAAAGACCCCTGAGAACAGCGGTCTGCTCCAACACGGCACGGCGGCTGGTGCCGCCGACCGCATCCTTCAGCTCAACGGCACGCTCGTAGTCCAGGCAGGCCTGGACATCTTCGTCGAAGCGCGCGTCGACGGCTTTCAGCTGCTCGAGCGACAGCGTGTCCATGGGGACATTGTTCTTCTCTGCCAGGGCGACAACCCGGCCGGAGATGTGGTGGCCCTCGCGGAAGGGGACGCCCTTGCGGACGAGGTAGTCGGCGATCTCGGTGGCCAGCATCTCGGGCGCCAGGGCGGCGGTCATCTTCTCGGGGAGGACGGTGAGGGTCGAGAGGACGCCGGTGGCGATCTGGATGCTGTCGCTGACGGTCTTGATGTGGTCCAGCAGGGGCTCGACGCTCTCCTGCAGGTCCTTGTTGTAGGTGGTGGGGAGACCCTTGATGGTCATCATCAGGCCGGCCATGTGGCCGAAGGCGCGACCGGCCTTGCCACGCAGAAGCTCCAGGCTGTCTGGTCTCGTTAGTTGAAGTCAAGAACGACAGCAAAACACAAGCAACTCACCTGCGTTCTTCTTCTGAGGCATCAACGACGAGCCGGTCGAGTAGGCGTCGGACAACCGGACGAAACCAAACTCCAAACTGCTGTAGATGATCAGATCCTCGGCCCAGCGAGAGATCTTGAGCATGAACGAGCTTCCCCACTGCATGGTCTCCATGGCAAAGTCCCGGTCGGCCACCGCGTTCATCGAATTGTACAGCAGACCCTCGAAGCCCAGCTCCGCGGCCATCGCCTCCCGGTCGATCTGGAAGGGGTTTCCGGCCAGAGCGCCGGTGCCCAGGGGGCTGCGGTTGACACGCCGGGTGACCTCCCGCAGACGCTGCAGCTCACTGGCGAAGGCGGTGGCATGCGACAGCAGCCAGTGGCTCCACCGGACGGGTTGGGCCTTCTGCAAGTGTGTGTAGCCGGGCATGATGAAGTCGAGCTCGTTCTCCGCGCGCGCGATGGACACCTTGACGAGGTCGCACAGGACGGCGTCCAGCTTGCGCAGCTCGTCCCGCAACCACAGGCGCATGTCGGTTGCAATCTGCTCGTTGCGGGACCGGCCGGTGTGCAGCTTGCCTCCGATCTCCTTGCCGATGATCTCGGAGAGTCGGCGCTCGTTGGCTGTGTGGATGTCTTCGTCGTTCTCCTTGACGACGAAGGTGTTGGTGCTCCATTCTTCGGCGATCTGCTTGAACCCGCGTTCGATCTCGGAGAACTCGTGCTGGGTCAGGATACCGGTCTTGGTGTTGGCCCGGGCGAAGGCAAGCGAGCCGGCAATGTCCTGCTTCCAGAAGATACGGTCGTAGGGGAGGGATTGGTTGTACTGAACCATCAGGGGGTCGAGGCCCTCTATGAGTCAAAACATAAGTAGGTTAGTAGTATTCGGAGGAATTGAGACTGCGGTAGGGGGTACATACGGGTGAATCGACCACCCCAGAGCATGTTCTCTGCAACAGCCTTGGAAGCACTCATTGTGGAAGCTGTAGACGAAGGAATTGATGAATTGAAGGGGAGGATGTTGCGAGAAGGAGGTGATGGACAGGTCGGAATCCAAATAATTATTCGGTGATTCACCCAGGGAGCGATATCGGCGCTAACCAGATGGGGCCGACTCTTATCAACAATGAGTCACAACTTACTCTAAATCGACTCGATGCTATGGCCATAGAGTGTTGATTTCCTATTGTTTCCATGCGCTCGGTAAATATGATGATATTCTGGTAATATGAGTTCGCATGTCGCCTTACGAGCGTCGCAATGGTCTGCCGTCGAAGCACTGTTGGAGACGAGTTCAACCGCCATGCCATCAGTCAATCTTCAATTGACATAGATGCAGCCAAAGATTATCGTCTGAGGCCGGCTGAAAGATTATTATCATATCAACAAGCGTGATATGATAAGCAATACATATTTGATATGGAATGTTCTGACAACACAGTACAGGTCGAAGGCGGATACGAACCAAGGGAATAGCAAGACGCAGGGTGAGAAGCTAGAGATCTTGGATCGAGCGAAGCCGTCAAATGGCCAATGGCTGAAATGATACAAGACATATGGTCGACGGTGCAGGGTCAAACTGCTACCGCTGACGCAAAACAATCGCCTGAAATGCGCTGGGCGACTCCTATACATAGCTCTCAGGATCAAGTGGAATGGACTGGTTAGGCGAAGTCTTCCCTTCCTCCAGGGACCAGGAGAAACAACAGAGAACGAAGTCTGGTATGAAAGAAGAAACTTGAAGAATTCCGCAAGAACGAAGCACCTCAAATCTCAGTCATTCTACCATATGTTGACCAAATATCTCCCTCACTTTAGCAACTAATAGAGGCCAAGCCTTTGTCCTCCTCAGATCTGCTCACCAATGACTGGTTGCGACGTCGTTAGCCTTGAGAATTGGAGACAGGAAGTGGTCAACTGGATCCATGGACCAGATCAGAGCTCGACTTTTCTTCAGCCGCTGGATCAAGGCAAGAACATCAGGACGCGGTCAAGGAACTTGCCAAGTTCTGGTTCACTTGAAGAACTCGCTCGAGAAGAACACAATTTCAAGAAACTGTTCTACTGTGCTACGAGAGGCCGCATTAGTCAAGTATTCTCCAAGCTAGAGGGCACCCCAGCCCGATGCACAGAAGCCATTGAAGAGTCTAATGGTGAGCGTACAGCATGGAGAGAAATTCAAAGTCTTTAGCCGTGTCTGGATCATCAAATGTCTCACGACCTGCCTGTTATTCCACTACATATGAGGTGAAGACATTGCTGGAATCCCAGAGAATCCCTTGCTAGTGCAACTAGCCAAAGAACTGCTGAGTACAGGAGCACAGCCACAGATGCAACATTTCTGTAAGAATAGGTAAATGCTGGCTCCTCATATGCATTAGCCCCAGCATGCCCCAGCATGCTCCTATAGTATTGATTTCTCATCAAAGTGCGGTGTATCTACCCCGTGCCTGGGCGGCAACTCTGATATCTTTTGGACAGGAATCAAACAGATCTCCAGCCAATGGCTCCAATCTCTTTTTGGGTCCACATGGAGATGCAATGTCCATACTGGCTTTATATCATGCAGAGGTTTACGAATAGGAAATAGTGACAGTCAAAGAATGAAGAGATCAGGCACTTCAGCTTGCGTGTTTGCTACCTAGCAAAGACCACTTTGTAGTAAACAAGTGTATATTCCTGAAACAGCTTGTAAACATATCTTTGTTCAGCGCATGCGTCTTTGATTTTCTGTCATGGTTGAGCTGCTGGGTAATCCAACTTGAGGCTCAGAAAGCTCTGCCGCGCTGGACATATATATGTGGTAGTCTTCTCCAACTGGAGCTTCCTGGCACAGCATCCCTCTTTACATGTCTGATATATCTATCCCACTCTGGATATAGTTACCAGCTCTACACTATATATACCTTGTTTCTTTCTCTTATTTTCTCCGTGGTTAGAATTGGAGTTGAATGCTACCATCTTCTCCTGCCCGGGTCGAGTGTCATAGTATACAGTTTATGCTGGACAACGTGTCGCCAGCTTCGTTTCAATACTGACATACCACCTGGAAGAGGGGCTGCCTTTGAAACGAAAAAAAAACGCCAGCAACGGATGCTGTCCTGCTGTTTCGAGACAATACCTGAAACAGGTTGAGCTTCATGAGGATGCATCCCACTGATTGTGTGCGACACGGAATCTCGCACTGTGCTGCTGTTGGCCCTTGCTGTATCTATGTTACGACTTATCGAGTTTCATCGGGGATTATGAACGTTATGGCACTATAGTGCTTTCTGATAATTGTGAACACCCCATAGGTGGGACTGACGGCGTAACGGAGCATTGGACAGACTCCTCAGGAGTGACTTAGTTATATGTTTCTTTTTCTGTGGTTCATGCAAGCATGTATTGCAAGATATGTGATATTGTAATCAATCAGGGTGAAGGGAGCGAGAAGGAGGAAGTTGATGTGATTAAGAACTAGAGCCGGCTATTCATTCATACTTCTATCAGAAAGTTTACATATACGTACGTCGACCAGTAAACCTGTGGGCTGCATAGGTTAACCACTGCTCTCAAGTATGTGGTATCACCATGATGTGTCGTATCTCTACGCATGATTTTAACTGTATTGAATCTAATTGGTGTCTGTGTTCGCGCCTGTGATTTGTTTGCTATACCCCCCTGCTCAGCTTAGCGGCATTTATTGGGTACCGGATTAGCTTGCATTGACTGACTGGACTCAATAGGTAAAACACAGCCTTGCTGTCAGCCTCATGGAGCTGATTGCCCCTCCTACACCAAATCACCTGTAACGGAACGTACCGACAACATCCACCGCATGGTGGAGAGACAGCGAATGTTGTGTGTCGGTGTGCTATATCCTCTTTAACTCACGAGAATGGCCCCCCGAATACTGTCACACAACGACTACACGGTGGCATGGATCTGCGCTTTGCCGCTGGAAACAGCAGCGGCGAAGGTCATGTTGGATGAAGTTCATGCTTCACTACCGCAACCAGAAACCGATCATAATGTCTACGCTCTTGGAACCGTCAGCAGTCACAATGTGGTCATCGCCTGCCTACCTTTGGGTGTATACGGAACAATATCTGCTTCCAATGTGGTGTCGCACATGGTTTCTACCTACTCGAATATTCGCTTTGGTTTGATGGTCGGCATTGGAGGGGGAGTTCCCAGTAAAAGTGCTGACATTCGCCTTGGTGATGTTGTGGTTAGCAAGCCAACTGCTACCTCAGGCGGCGTTATCCAGTATGACTACGGCAAAACACTCAGTGGAGAACATTTTCAGCGCACTGGATCTCTCAACAAACCTCCTCCAATCTTGTTAAAGGCTGTGGCTCAATTGGAGAGTGACTATATGACTGGAAAGAACCCAGTCAGCCAAATCATAGGTGATGCACTGCAGAAGGAAGAAATTAGGAGGAAGTTCTCCAGACCAGAAGGTGACTTGCTGTTCCAACGTACATATGACCATAAGGGAAAGGAAGCAAACTGTTCAGCATGTGATCAGAAACAGCTAGTAGATCGACCTCCGCGAACGACTGCTGAGCCTCACATTCATTATGGCTCGATCGCTTCTGGAGACCAGGTCATAAAAGATGCGGGGACTCGAGATTTCATTGCCCAAAGGGAAGACATTCTCTGCTTTGAAATGGAAGCTGCCGGTCTCATGGATGAACTCCCATCCCTTGCCATCCGAGGCATCTGCGACTACTGTGATTCCCACAAAAATAAACAGTGGCAAGAATATGCAGCCCTTGCGGCTGCCGCCTATGCGAAGGCCCTCCTGTCACAGGTTCCTACTTCCTACTCCGGGAAGGAGTTAGGTGCATCAAAGAGATCAGTTTGGATGGTCCCCTTTAGAAAGAACTCGCGATTCGTGGGCCGGGAAGAAGAAATCAGCAAAATTGAAGGGTTGATCACGCAACAGGACAGTCCTAGCAAGATCGCTATCTGCGGACTGGGTGGAGTTGGAAAAACCCAAATTGCACTTGAACTGGCGTACCGCATGAGGAATCAAGACCCTGAATGCTTAATTTTCTGGATCTCATGTACCACCTATGAGAGCGTGGAGCAGGCCTACACGAGCATCGCATCCAAGCTAGAAATGACTGACAAAAAGCCAGCAGAGGTCAAAGAACAAGTCAAGGCTTATCTTAGCCAGCAGAGCACAGCGAACTGGCTTCTTATTTTTGATAACGCAGATGATATGGAGATGTGGACAATGGCAGACTTCCTGCCTGAGAGCGAGCGAGGCCACATTCTCTTCACCACCCGAAGCCGGCAGATAGCCGTGAGACTGGCGTCATCCAACGTGATAATGATCTCTGAACCGGACACAGAGACTGCTGCCGAAATATTACGCAAGTCGCTGATTAAGAGAGTCTTGCTAAATGATCGTGAGGCAGCCATTTCACTCCTTAGGGAGCTTGCCTACCTTCCCCTAGCGATCACCCAGGCGGCAGCATACATCAATGAAAAAGACATCAAGCTTTCTGAATACACCACACTTTTGCATCAGAACGAGCCGGACGTGATTGAGTTGCTGTGTGAAGACTTTGGGGACGAAGGGCGGTACAAAGATATCCGGAATCCTGTCGCAACAACCTGGTGGGTTTCATTCCAACAGATCCAGCGCTTGAATCAAACAGCAATGGACTATCTATTATTCATGGCCTGCATCAATCCTCGCCATATTCCGCGGTCTTTGCTTCCTCAGACGATATCAGAAAAGAAAAGGATCGATGCCATTGGCCTCCTCAAGGCCTTTTCCTTTGTAAATGAGGAGGGTGGAGATTGTTCTCTAAATCTTCACCGACTCGTCCATCTTGCAACCCGGAACTGGATGAGGAAGCACCGGCAGTTCAACCAGCAAATTTTAAAAAACAGCCGATCGATTAAGTGAAGCCTTTCCAGATGATGACCATACAAATCGGAAGCTGTGGCGGGAATATCTACCTCATGTTCTTTCATTAATCGGAGAAATTGAATTTCAACAGGCGCAGGAGAGATACGTTGATATGCTTCAAGGGATTGGATATTGCCTTTACAGTGATGGGAGATATAAGGCAGCAGAAGAACTGTTTTTGCGGGTACTAACGATCCTGAAGCAGGTGCTGGGGCCGAAGCATCCTGTCACTCTGTTTAGCTTGGCTGAGGTGGCATCAACATACTTGAGTCAGGGACGATGGAAGGATGCAGAGAAGTTGCTGGAACAAGTAATGGAGGTATACAAACAGGTACTGGGGCCAGAGCATCCGAGCACTCTGTGGAGTATGAGCTACCTAGCAACAATATATGGGAATCAGAGACGATGGAAGGAAGCAGAGGAGCTGCTGACACAAGTAATGGAGGTATACAAACAGGTACTGGGGCCAGAACATCCGAGAATTCTGTGGAGTATGGGCCGCCTAGCAACAATATATAGGAATCAGAGACGATGGAAGGAAGCAGAGGAGCTAAATGTGGAAGTGATGAGGATCCGGAAACAAGTGCTAGGACCAGAGCATCCACAGACTCTGCTTAGCATGGCCGAATTAGCATGGACATACTGGGATCTGGGATTACAAAAGGAAGCCGAGGAACTGCAGCTTCAAGTAACAGAGATGCAGAAAAAGGTGCTAGGGCCAGAGCATCCGAGCACTCTGTTGAATATGGGCTGCCTGGCAACAACATATGGGAACCAGAGACGATGGAAGGAAGCAGAGGAGCTACTTGTGGAAGTGATGAGGATCCAGAAACAAGTGCTAGGACCAGAGCATCCACAGACTCTGCTTAGCATGGCCGAATTAGCATTAGCATACTGGCACCAGGGACGACAAAGGGAAGCTGAGGAGCTGGGGGTGCAGGTAACAGAGATGCAGAAAACGGTTTTAGGGCCAGAGCATCCACACACTCTGATCACCATGTTTAACTTGGCTTTCATCTGGAAGTCCCAAGGGAAGATTCAAGCCGTTTCGGCTCTCCCGGAACAATGTCTTGCGATCCAGAAGAAAGTCCTGGGACCAGGTCATCCAGTTACCTTGGCCTCTAGCATTCTCAAGGAGATGACAAAAGAGGACCGCTCCTTCTCAGATGATCGCCCGCTGCGACCTGATTAGGCCGAAAGTGATCGCATCCCGAAGCGATCTCAAAGGATTTGTGGAACTGCTTCTCGAAATGGTGCGAGGATGCGACAAGAACTCGGGCGAAGACGAAGCTTGAGTTCTGGCGGATCCCGCGCGAGTGGAATGCTGAAGCAGATGGATGGGCTAGCCTTGCTGCTGCTCAGGATGAGAGGGCAACTTGTCTTTGTGAAGCCGACGGGTTCTGATTTAGGGTTACTTCTATACCGTCGCCCTCATAGGAAACAAGACCATCGTCAAGTATGTGGTCATGGAGGCTAAAGGGCAGTATAGCTGGACGTCATCTGCTTCTGCATGACTATCAATTCTGCAACTCGACCACCGTCCACGTATTCGTCCACCCGACCTCCCCACCCAGCTTCTCCAGAACCCGCCTACTGGCCCCGTTCGTCGCAAGCACATTCGCATGGACCCATACCTCGCCTTCTTCGCCAACCTCCCGCCAGATCCCTCCTTCCGCCATCCCACGCCTCATCACCTCGCGCGAAAGCGCTTCAGCGATTCCCTTGCCGCGATGCTCTGGCTCAACGAACAACGTCGCCAAACTCCCGTCAAGGCCGAGAAAGACCCATGCGATGGGAATCTCCTCCCCCTCCCCAGGTCGATCAACATACACAGCCACTCCGGGGATTCTGGACAGTGTCTCGTCCGAGCGAGGCAGATGCGTCCGGCTACGCACCAGCGAGTAATGGTGCGGGAGGATTCCCGTCCGCCCTTGCTGGTCATGGAACCGATACCCGGGTGGTAGTCCTGCATCTAATCTGTCTGAGAGCGAGTGCACATTCCGAAATAGGTACTTCACATATGGGGGATTATCGTAACGGTGGATCCGGATACCTGGTACCGGCTCCGGGTCCTTGTAAATCCCCGACTTCATGAGCAGGGCCATGAGGCCTGTATGCAGGTTGCCGATGAGAAAGGCCTGCGGCGGTGGCGGCGGCACCTGACCCGGTGCGTTGGGAGGGCGAGGAGCTACGCTTGGGGCAGTAAGAGAGGCTAGGTATCCTGGCAACAAGGTCGTCTTGATATACGAGAATAAGGCCAATAGTTGGGCGCGAGCGAGCGCTAGAGTTTCGGGGGGAGCGTGGAGAGTGGAGATGACAGCAGGATCCTGGTTATCATCCTTGTCATCATTGACAGACTCCCGCTCGAGACTCGAATAGAGGGTCATCTGCGTCTCTCGCCCACGTGGAAGATCCACATACGCAGCCAGCCATGCACCGGAGGGAGGCTTGACCCCTGGGAATGTCGTCAGCAGTCTGGCCGTCTCTGACGGGAATGCCAGGTTGTGCTGCAGACGCCTGAGAAGAGGAATCGAATGAGGCAGCTGAGATTTGAGCAGGGGGAGTAGCGCGCGGGGATCATCCTGGACGGTGATCTCATTGAACCCCGAATAAAGCCTTTGATCACCGACTGTCATTGTCATAGTGATTTGAGAATCGTGCGGGTCCTTCCTTGCACCTGAAACTCTCGAGCTTATAGAATACTAAGCTACACTATTGAGTCATCACTAATGAATCACTAACTAGTTAGTTAGTCAACTAATAATCTATCCCCTGACTAACAGCTGTCGCGAAGCTTGGCTCCCGCCCTAACAGCATAGTCGGACAGTATTTGTCATTCCGATTACCAGGATTAGGCATGTCGGCTGCAAATCACGATGCCCAACTGTGGCGGTGCAACTGCAGTAGATCTGACAGGTCATTTTCACTTTCACTACGGATTATCTAAACACCCCGAGGAGAGACTTTTATTGGAGGGCCGAGCCGGCTGAAGCTCATGGCTTACTGGAATTGTGTACCCTGTTTAATGCCAATAGTCCGCACGGACACCCTGTTTAGCGTCGCTGCCCATGTCATTGCCATGTTATTGGATGAAGAAAAGGGGGAATGCGGATTCGTGATTATCTTCCGAGCTCATGGTTCCTTAACCAAGTTTTGTCTTCGACTCTTGCAGGAGCCGAGTTGAGGTGCAGATAATATCATTAATCGTACCTGACTACAGGGAATAGAGTCAATCAATGATAGGCAGCTAGCTGTACGTATACTCGGCGTGGATATCGGTAACAAAAGAAAATATGTGAGGTAGCGAATGACAAAAGAAACGAGATATCATGAATCATCAGTCATGAGCATCAACCCCCCCCTAGGGCCTCTACCAAGGCCTCCTCGGTCCCACCATCCAATCCTCCATCGCCAACCAATCGCTCCACCTTGCATCCGCAACCCGCAGCTCCTCCTCCGTCGGCTCACGCAGCGGCCGCAGAAACGGCACCTGCTGGTCAGGCAAGATATCATATGCGCTCTTCGTCGACGCCCAACCCCCGCTTTTCGCCGTGAAGAGATAATTCAGCCGCTCCTGCTGACGGATCCCGCCCACACCGGCCACCCAGTCCGCCCCGAAGAACAGCTGCAGGTTCGCCGGGGTATCCTGGCCCGTGGCGATCAGACGGCGGATGTACACTCTGGCGGAGACGGTTGATGCGTCGACGGCCTGCCCTGGCAGTCGGATGTTGAGAAAGGATGCCAGTGCCTGCACGGCGGGCGTGTGCTGGCTCTGTGCCAGGAAGACGCGCATGCAGCCTAGGTACCGCGCGTACCAGTCTGTCAGGTCCAGGGTGGAGAAGTCGGCGGGAGTGTCCGTCTCTGTCTCTGGCTCCGGGGCCGGGCCCAAGCCAGGGGCGGGCCATGCTGGTGCAGACGGAGATGGATACTCGGTTACTGAGACGGTGGAGAAATTCGCGCGGCTGCCGGGGGTGCATTCAGTCTCCATGTTCATTGACTCTGGGAGGATTCTCAGAAGGTGTCTCAGAGTTGCGGGGGAGTGCGGGGGAGTAGGCGTGGGACAACGGCAGAGGGCCAGGGTAGGGACTTACTTGCGGGAGAAGAGAGAGCTTGCTCGTCCGTATAGGGAGAACTTGGCCAGTAGTCTCTGGCGGAAGCCTGAACGTGCAACGTCATGGTTGATACGGGACATAAATGATGAGTGACCAAGGTTTGGGTTTCATCGAATGGAGTAGTTTAGTTTCGAGGTAAAACAAGTCTGATGCGAGAGCGAGCGAGGGGGGCCCATCTTATAGATCTCAGCCCCCAGTCCCATCCCGAGATACGAAACAAGACGGGCATGCCGAACCAGGCAGGGAAGCAGAAATTGAAAGAAGCTTCATTCGGTCTCGGCAGATAGTTCGTGCACGGTCTGGCAAGTGGAGCTTGCTCAGTTGAGTAAAAGGTCACTGATCTGACGATTGTGATGCTTTTTTCGAGCAGACTAGTAGTGGTCTATCGATCCAGGGATCAAGCCACATCTCCACCAGCCACAGATAGCATGCCACATCTTAGCCACATCTTGCTTCTGATTCTGTGGCTTGACCAATAATATTGAGCCAGATTGCCAGTGGGCCGTGTGGCTGTGCTATGCTTTATCATGCAATGGTGCATATCGCAGCCCAATAATCTGTAGGCCCGGACATAAGCGACTACGGAGACCCCTTGGCCAGGATTACCTGCCGATCCCGGGTACCTGGACAGGATCACACCCTAGAGTAAATGATTTGGAAGACTCAGGCACTAACCCTCCATCCTTGTAGATCCGCCAGTCTACTGGATGCTGGACTTGGCTTATCATGATCACTATTGAATTAGAGCCTGGTTCGATCCCTACCGCGGTCTGTTGGATAGGATATCAACACCACCCCTGGCTTTGTAAACAATAAACAATCAATTTGTCACATGATCTCCGCGGTCTGCATGTCTGTACGTTTCGGGCTTTCCGAAGGTGATTTTCAGAGCATACTGTGCAAACAGACCGCAACTAACAATTATACAGATAATCAATTGGTTTCTAGTGCTATACTATCATTCTGACAGCTAATAGGCCATTGAGGGCGTCGCGGAAGGGAGGGAGTTCTGGGGCAGACCCCGCAGTTTTCGAACTTGGCAGGGTCATTATTAGGTAGGCCAGATTCTAGATGACGCCCATATTAAGAGGTATTAGAAAAAGAAATCATTATAAAGTGTTAGATTGGCAGATTATATTGTTCAGGAATGTATACATTTGATATAGTACGTCAGATTTATGTTAGAGTTTGATTTCCTCCCATGTGACTATATAATAAACTGCCTGTTTAGGAGCTGATGTGTGGCGTTACCCGCCAAGGTGTGGCGTCATCCAGGGCCTTGATTATTTAATCTAATCAGTAATAGCCAGGGATCCCTCCTTCAGACAAATGTGATAGCTCTGTTGGAGAATCCATCGGGCTCACTCGGTCTAGTCGTGGTTTCATCTGGACAATAGGCCTAGAGCAGCGAGAGATTCTTCAAGGCGCACATGGTGGTCAGCGAGGACTGCAGTAGGCTCAGGTGATACTACACGGTAACAGGAATGTGGGTGACACAAGATGGAGACGGTAACATAAGTCTCAGGATTGTACAACGCAACAACGTCCAACGTGGTCTGGCTGTGACGACTGACGATTCTGATACTCTTGAGGGTGTACGAACCATGCAAGGGGCCGCTCATTGGTGCGCATCTCAGGTTTTGAAGTCGCTTTGGAAGACGACGTCAATCTTACCTAGGAGGGTACTCTGTGCAGAGTAATTGTAATTGTTTCAATAATGATGATGTCTATATTTGTAATGACTAACTGGGGACAGGCAAGGTAAACGGGGCGACCTGGGAGCCACTAGCTAGGATATTGGACCTGGAACTGGGAATTACGGTGGAACCAGCAAAGCATTTCATTCTCGCTGGACTCTTCCCTGTTCGACTCAATCGACCGATCAATGACATTATTATTATCTTATGCGGTCTGAGAATGAAAAGAGACTAAGTTACTAGCCTAAGACTAACAAGCCCAACGATCTGAGTAAGACAGGCACCAGCCAATGGCCGTGCCACAGTACTATTCCCAGTTTGGTTGTGGATGAGATCATGACTCTTGTCCATTACAAGTCACCACCAATGATTTGCTCAATGGGCGAGGGGAAAAAAAGCAAAGCCAACTCGGATCCAGGGTTTATGACATGCGCACTGATCTACCCCACCATCATGTATCTTGGTGTGTTGTACCTGGATTTGTTGTCGAGTGGCTGACCTGACCGACCTCCACCAGCCCAACCATCTCGCCTCATGCAGGGCACAACCTTAAGGAAGATGAAGATATATAGCCTTCAAGCTCCTTCCAGGAGTCAGTCTGACCTCTTGAACACTCAAAAGTCAAAAACCCAAAACCACATCTTAACAATTTTCCTACTCCACGTTCATCATCATGTGCTACAAGTCCAACTATGAGCCTTATGTATGTCTTTCCACTGTAACCCAAAGAACAGCTCGAGTACTAACAATTATCCAGACCAGTCAAAGCCTTGACATCAAAAGGGCAGAAGACCTCTCGTCAGAAGAGCTCCTCAACCCCTTAGGTTCTCTCTATCCTCACGTCGTCGCCCTCCAACTTCAATCCGACGACACCCCATGGATCCGCGCCAAAAACTCTACTGGCTATCAAGACAACAATTCCTGGGTCGACATATACTCCACAGACGATTATTCCAAACCCTCGGCGCGCAGGAACAGTGGTGAGTTTATCTATCACATTTGATCTATCGTTTGCGGAAGACAGGCTAACATGACTTAGACTCCACAGCCTACCGCTTCGTGTTGCGAATCCGCCGATTTCTCACCCGAGATGAGATGAGGCGACGCCAGCGAGCTGCATAGCACAGCATCGTCTTTCATTCGCTTCTTCTTCACCGTCTTTTCTTTTCTTCTTCTTCCATTCCCAACTTTAAGTTTGACCAGTTTGAGTGAGACCTGCAGGTTCGGTCGTCTACACGAAAGTTTCAGAGTCCTACAGCATACCCTGTCTTGAGTCTAAATTCTTTTCCTTTGTCCTGCATCTATCCTTCATGTGTCAGTCAGTCTCAGTCTCAGTCTCGGGTTTGTTTTGTTTTGTTTCATCACGTCCGGATTAGCGAGGAGTTCAGGGCTCTCAAGCAAGGAGAGCAACGGCATCGTCACGAGCATATTAGTCTAATGTCTACGTTATTGCGAGAAACAACATGATTACAAAGTCAATTGTCAATTTCAGATCAGCAAGCGAATCTTATCTAAATTCTAACCCAATTCGAAACGTGTACGAACACCCTTCCACAATCCATGCAACGATTGTTCTAGTTTAGATTTTAGATGCCTCATATGCCGTTTCTTCCAGATCACATAGACATACAGGTTCCTCTGGCTAGCGTGCATGCAGCTGCAGGGCTAGCCCACCAATAAGATCAATGTCCTCCATCTTCGCTTCACGCGGAGGATAATTGCTTCTTGCAATGGAATGTATCAGTGTCGGTATCAATTGCCGACTCCAATTTAGACACAATAACCAAAACACGAGGATGGGTCGGTGTGTGTTCACTTGCTCATGCACGACCCCAAGTGACTACGTATACCCGAGTCCACCGCACTAACATGCCTGCTGCTGATACAGAAAACTCTGAATGCAATACGTCTAATTCTCAGGTATGATTCTGTTCTAGGAGACTCTCGCCACGGGCAATAGGTATTCGCCGAGATCTGCCAGACGGAAGTAAGGACACCTACGGAACATAAGGTAGTCTGAGTCGGAGTGAGAGTCCACGACAGCAGAGATAGGCACGCAGTCAGCATCACTTTAATGGCATCCTTCGAGTGAAAGCTTTCGTAGGTCGAATCAAGAAATATGTTTTATGCTCAGGGTAAGCCGTAACCGTCACCATCACGACACACACGATCATCATTCAGGACCTGTATGTATGTTATCTGTGCCCTGTGACACATACCCGAAACAGAAACATGCCCTGTTCGTAACTGACACTGACCGCTCCTTTCATCCTTTCCTATCTTATCGTTCTTTTCTTTTGCGAAGCGAGGAGTAAGGGGTTAGCGATGCTGATGCTACTGTACCTGCTGTAGCCTGTACGGTGTACCACGACCCTCTCGCTACTGCGACATCAACATTTCTACCTACACTAAGTTGATACATGATATATCACAGGGTGAGGTGCAGATGCCCGAGTTCAGGGCATGTTCAATGGCTTTTTTTTGGCGCTTCAGGCGCTGTGAGCCTGTGAGCCTGTGAGCCTGTGCACCTGCGGCTGCCCTGCACCCCGCAATCTGCATATCATTTCAAATCACCACGTCCGTGCCCGGTCATGAGCACTTCAGACTTCGGACGGGAATGATTGCCTCGACAATATCGTGTGCTCTGTATCATATCTACGTGACGAGGCGGGAACGGGCCGTAGCGTCAGGGGCAGAGTTAGATATTGTATATTGTCCATTCATTGTTCATTGTTCTTGCAAGTCCATCTCCCCGTCCATATCCTCATAGATCAAGTGGGTATAGATTGACAAGGGAATATATCATCAACGACAGAATTCAAACTCCAACTCCATAGCAAGTAAATCAAGGACAAGAAATTTTCCCTCCTGGATATCCAGAATGAGCCATCACAAAGGAAACACTCCGCATCGTGCAGTATAACGAGCGAAACAACCAACCCTGAACGCCAGTCATCTCCGTCATCTTGGTCATGATCATCAGTCGAGAATCGATAGTTTATGCAATGATGCCGGATGCCCCAGACCCCGTCCCCCAGCGTAACCGCTTCAAACCACCCCGAACGGCTTCTTGGCCGCAGCCGGCCGAAACCCTGCCTCCCAAGGCCCCCGCCCCTCCGTCTCCCATGACCGACCCCACACCAGTGCTCGACTCCAGCCTGCCAACTTCGCGTCCAAGTACATAG